TGTAAACAATTTTTATTATCATTTTGTGGAGTTATACAATTGCAACTATTCAGGATTTGTAAGCTACATTCTAAATTATTTAAATTATTATAACTGCTAGAGATTACCTCTATTGTCTCATTTTCTAATTTAAATTACTTGGAACGGATCCCAAATTACTTGTCAAATCATTATGCTGCTCAATAGGAGCAGATGTCTGGGTAGCCAAGTCCTAACTCCAAGGCTGGATATATAAATAATAAGATAGCACATTTTCTATCTGTCTTAAATTATATTTGGATATGTAATACCTATCTGTAGTCAAAAATTTCTTAATTAAATTATTAATGTCTATTAAATTAATTCTCTTGGTATAATTGTTACAATTAAATGTCAAATTTAAATTATTACTACATGATAAATTATTCATTAATAAATTTAAATCATATCTTATTTTATTTTCTTGTGGCCAACTCTGTATGTAAGGCAATGTAAACAAGATTATTTTGTGTACATTTAAAGTATTGAGGTAATCAATATATTTTAATAATTGATTTTATTTACATTGCCTCTTCTCCCTACAAAAATTATTAATGTGCTATTAGGACAATACTTCCTAGTTAAAACTTCATTTATTATATGATTAAAGGATGCTCCAGGCATACAATAATTACTAATCAGTTGTCCTTTTAAATTGTTATTTAACATCATGCCCAAATTTTTTTCATATGTCATCACAATACATAATAACTTTATGTTTTTTACTTTTTAAACTACTTTTTAAGTTTTTATTCTTTGTTATGTCACCGTCATAGAGTGTTGGTGAACTAAGAGAGTTACTATTTACACATATTGTCCCCGATAAACAAGGTACAGAGCGTTGATTCTCACTTTGATGTTTTATTAAGGAGTCAAAGCGCTCCTCATTGTATTTACATGACTACCAGATCATTCATGGCCAATATGTGGTCTTTAATCTCAACCTGAGCCGATGCATATGTATTGGAGATAATTTGTAAGGAGTTTTTAAGCGACAAAACTTTTGAATTGAGACACTCTATTTCAGTCTCATAACAGTTTTTCATATTTTCCAGCTCAATTGAATATAATTTAAGTTTATTAATAAATTCATGCTTTTCCTTATATATATATTTATATAAATTTTTGTATTAATTTTAGTTTTAATTAACTTTTGTACTTTCCTAACATATTTATTAATTTTTATGTATTTCTTTAAATTTCTTCTACTGCATGTAATCCTTTCTGCTGTTCTTGATGTGACAACATCATCACCAGTCAAATCGATTGTTGTGGAGGGTTGCAATGTTTTTGGAGATTTAAATTCTATGAGCTCATTGAACAGACTTTGAGTTTGGGCCACTTTCAATTCATCTAAGTATTGTTTTAATTGCAAAATCTGCTCATTAGCTCACTTAACTGCAACTTCAATGCAGCAATTAACCTGAGGGATTCCTCATATTATTTGCTGCATCGGTCAAACTCATCGACTGTTCCGTGAAGCTGATTCCTTTCTTTTAAAACATTTGTGTAGTCTTTATGCAACTTAACCATGTCACTTTTTAGTTGACTATTTTGGCAATTATATTTATTATTTCCTTTTCGTTGTCATCCCTTTCTTTAAGCAACAGCTCAAACTGCTCATTTGACGCCTTAAGTTCTAGAAGCGCCATTTGAAGTTGGTTCTCCATTTGGCGCTTTTTGGCGTTGCGTGTATTCATTTTACTATTATGTGTAAATAGCAAAAGAAAACCGAAGATACAGAGTAAGCTAATAACTAGATCTATGGGTCTACTTACAGATCTCAAATTAAATTATCAGGTAAGCAATTCAAATTGAAATCCGAAACAGCACTAATTTAAAAGGTAAATCTTAAAATATAAAGGGGATAACCAGAATTACAATAACTTACAGAAAGTTCAAACAATGTTCGTTACAGCTGTCACTATTAGTTGAACCACAAAACACTATTTAATTAAAATACTTATGACTTTTATTTATTTTACAAACACCATTAAGTCTTATTTAATAACTGTAACTAGAAATTGAGGTGGATATTATTAATTTACAATATTTAATTTTGCTAAATAGTTGGGAGCTAATATTTTACAACCTGTCACTGGGGTTGCCACAAATTAACCAGCCCTTTTCATTCCATTCATCCATTCCAAGTTAATATTTGGTTTATGCAAATATGATCACGTATTGCAATTTCGAGATCAACTCAGCTGGCACCCTATTCGTCTTCGCCGAATGTTCACATACTCTCTTTACTTTTTTGTGTACTCCGAAATCTCCGAGATACCTTATGGAACAATTTCACTATCGACATGAATTTCATAACCGCATTTTGCATTCAGTGTATAAGCTTGGCTTTAAATACTCCTTGCAGCGTAACTTCATTTTATAATAAGTCATTCACTTCACTAGCACCGCGACTTTGGATTTTATTACCACTTAAGGCTGCACCCCGATCAAAACCTTGCAAAAGTCTGTTTTTCAGAGATTATTATCTCATTAGTTATGAGAAATAAACTACATCTAAAAGCATATTATTAATGTACGATATCCTATCGTCACAATCCACATTCTAATGTGTTTTTATGTGTTATAAATACATTTAAAATCTACCTTCAGCTTTTTTATTTATTGTTTATGGTCCAATCTATGCAAAATGAACTAACTATGTCCTGAGGTCTTGCAGTGGTATGCTTGGGTTTAGTTTTATTTTATTGATTGTAGGGTCCCAAGCAGGTGGTAGTATCCAGCCTCCTTCTATATTGAAATCAGGATGTTTTTTAATTTCAATAGCCTCACGTATCATCCTTGGTAGGTATTGGTGTTCTTTCGCGAGGATTTGTGGTCTATCGAGTCTGATGTAATGGTGGGGACGATCTTGAACATGTTCACAGACTGCGGACTTCCCGGAGAATCGGTGCTTCACGTCAGCTATATGTTCTTTCACGCGGGATTTTATGGATATTTTTGTTTGACCTATGTAAGAGAGACTACATTCACAATCTAACTTATACACTCCCGCATCTTGTATAGGAATATGACACTTGATGGATGGCACGAACTGACTAATCTTCTTCGGCGGCTTGTAGAATGTTCTAATAGAATCTCGCTTCAAGATGTAGCCAATCTTGCCGTGACACCTCTGACATATGGTGGTACAGCAGTCACACGCTCAACTGTGGCCGGCTTCACTCGGTCACTGTGACGTAGGTGCGGGACCCGAAGCTTGTTGTAGTGCAGAACTTGCTTGACGTGCTGAAGCTCGGTGACCAGGTGTTTGCTGTCACAGATCCCTCGCTCTCTCTGTAACAAAGATTTGCCCACAGTAGCTAACTGTGAAGGATGGTGGTGAGATTCACCGTTTAAATATCGGTTTGTATGGGTCTTTTTTCTATACACAGTGTACCTATGGTGTTGTTAGGATTTCGGATGACTAACACATCTAGGAAAGGTAAGGAATTATTTGCCTCTAACTCCATAGTAAATTGAATTTTAGAGTTTATGGAATCAAGATGTTCTAAAAATGCAGTTACTTTGTCTGATGGTAAAATTGTGTAAGTGTCGTCTACGTACCGCTTGTAGATCCTTGGTGTAACAGGTGCAGTAAGGAGGCTTTCTTCTCAAAGTCTTCCATGAATATATTGGCTACAATGGGAAATACAGGTGAGCCCATCGCAACGCCATCTACTTGCTTATAAAACTCTTCCTTCCGCAATAGATAGCCAGATATAAGACAATGTCTGAGTAATACTGCATATTCTGTTGGCATCTTATTTTCCTCTAGTTACCTAGTTATAATTGATATGCAGTCTCCAACAGGTAGGCATGTAAATAGAGACTGAACATCAAAACTGACCATGGTTTCATTGCCAGTAAGACGTAGGAATTTTATTTCACTGACAAAATGGTATGAATCCTTAGTGTGTGCACTTGTGTGTCCTCTAAATTGTAATAATATTTTAGCTAAGTGTTGAGCCAATCTGTAAGTTGACGAATCAATCTGACTCACTATTGGACGTAATGGAGCGTTCTCTTCTAACTCTCTCTAACTTCGGTGGTTTGGTACATGAAGGTATTATCGTAGTATCTTGACGTCTTCAAGACATAGTCAGTTCATTTTGCATAGATCGGATCATAAACAATAATTAAAAAAGCTGAAGGTACTCCGCGTTTAACAATGACATCGGGACGTCAGTCACTTCAGTCCCCCGTGACCATGGGTGCTGGAAAGCACCCATAGAACGTCGGGAATTAAAAATGAAAATAATTGCATATATTTTTATTTTTTAAAAATAATTAAATTGTCTACGTGGTAGAGCCATGCTGCAGTTATATTAGTAGTATAGTTGTAGCACGAATGGGTCGGCTCGACCGGGGAATGACCACGCTCTCACAGAATACCAGCGTGAAATAGTAGCTTAATGCTGCTGTATTTCGTATGGTGAGTGTAGAGAACCGGAGACCCTTTTTACAGAACATGAGGCATTCCATCTCAGTCCTCATGGGTGACAACGCATCTGCATTTTGATTTGTAACAAAGCAGCATTAAGCTACTATTTTACGCTGGTATTCTGTGAGAGTGTGGTCCTTCCCCGGTCGAGCCGGCCCATTCTTGCTACGGCTGTGCTACTAATATAACTGCAGGATGATTAAGAATTAAGAATTGTTAATTGTAATGTATGGAGGAGGCCTATGTAACTTTTTAGTAACTTGAAGCATGCGGTGTATACAGTGTGATTTACCACCTAGGGCTACATAACCACGGGATTGTAGTAGAGCACTGGCTTATAATAGGTTTAAACCCGTTGCACTATAGCCAAAGAGTAGAGTTAAACCTCTACACTACGGAGCCATGAATACTTTGGCATAGAGCAAATTAAAAAGACGAATTAATTAGAAAAAGTAAATATATTCATATACAAAACATTTGTGAGAGAACACAATCATGTCATTAGCTAATTAATTAATCAAGAAAGGATGTTTCTTTAATATTGGTAGCCGGTCTGCTCGTCGAAGCTTTGCTGGGGAATGTTCTGGAAGTTTGAAGACTGCTTAGGTGTCAGGTATTGGTTGCTGGGACCAAACTGCGAGTGAGAGTTCTGGCCGTTCTGGAATGGAGACGGTCTATGAGCTCCAAATCCGTTGTCGTTTCCGAAAGACGATGTTCCGAATTGGCCGCTGGGTGCTGTGAATTGAGAAAATTCAATATAAGTGATTTTAATGCAGAGAAAGAAGATGACTAGTGAACTATCTTGTAGTAGAGGTTAAATGATTATGACTGTAGGTAACACAAGAGGCTGAAAAAAATGCCCTAAAGTCTAAAGTTTTTTAATAACAATCCTCAAAAAAGAGGCTCAAAATTGGAATGTGTGATTATTTTTACGTTTATTACAAGAAATCTTCGCAAATATGAACTAATTTAAATTATCCATATAATATTAAATAGGCTTTCATTTTACAAAGACCTTTGTCTTAGCAAAGAAATTATTTTAAATAAGTTTAATTCTTTCAAATTGGTTGTGAATTTTTTATAACAAGTTTAATTTTTTAATCAAATGATCAATATCAAATTCATCAACCATGATGTAATAGATCATAGAGAGCAAGTCTCTTCTAGAAAGTAATAAGACATTTATATGTACGGGTTTAGAATTTTATAAAAGAGAAAAATTTGAAAGAAAAAGAACTAAAATAAACTTTAAGTTGTAAATTTTTAAATAGGAAAATATATAGTAAAATTAACAAAATTTTTATACTATAAAGGTGATAAACAAACACAGTAAAAATGGTTTCCGGTTCTCTATACTCACCTTAAGAAAAAAGCAGCATTAAGCTGCTATTTTACTCTGGTATTTTGTGAGAACGTGGTCATACCTCAGTAAGCCGAACTATTCGAGATACTACCGTAATATTGCTGTATCCACCAAGTATAAACATAAAACGTTTTATAAACTTACCTCCGAAAGACGAATGTCCATTTCTGCCTTGACCGTTAGCGCTGGATGATCCGTAGTTAGGCGGCAGGTACTGGTTTGATGTAGCACCAAAGCCGTTACCGTTTGATGCACCAATACCATGACTGCCTGATCCGGATCCACCATTGGCTCCAAAACTTCTAGCACCGCCATTTAAACCAAAATTTCCATTGGAACCTCCGTTGGAACCAAAGTTGTTTCCTCTAGCAGGACTTGCTGATCCAAAGCTGCCATGGCTAGCACCATGTTGTGAGTCAAAAGATCCAAAGTTTCCTTGGCCTCCATTGGATCCAAAACCGTTGTGAGATCCGGTATTGGAACCAAAACCTAGATTGTTGGTGTTATCAGGAGGTAGGTAAGAACGCTCCAGGTGTTCGAGACGTCCAGCTGCGCAGACAGCGATCAAAGCGGCAATGATGACCTAAAATACAAAATATTTTAAAAGTTAGTCTAAACGGAAAATCCTCATTTCATCATTTTGGCTATACATAGTCCGTAGCCGCCCTTGAATTTGTTTTAATTGAATGTATGCACGTTTAGTAATGACGGCGTAAGATAATCAACTATCGTGCGACAAAGACAAATGAAATATGAGATGGATCGCTGTCCATCTGCTGTAGCAGTCTGACAACAACAACAACAAGAGCAAAAACACCACGATCTAATAAAAACTACGGTTGCCATCTCTTCTACCAAGCGTAGCAACTATAGAAAATATCCACCAGAGTTTATGTTCAGCTGTAAACTATGGTAAGATGTAAAGCATAAATAAAATTAAAAAAAGGAAAAGTGTATTTAGACCTACATTATGTGGACAGCCATTATGTAGAAAACCATTATGTCTAAAAGGTGTGAATTTCGATATCTATGTTACACTAACATGACTTTTTTATATAATAACTGTGACAAACGAGCACACAGTCCACTCGATAGTAAGTGGATGCTATGGCTCATAGACATTTATATTTATCCTCAATTAAGAATTAAAATACCCCTGAGGACTAAGATGGAATGCCTCGATTCCAGTAAAACGTATCTCCAGTTCTCTGTACTTAACATACGAAACACAGCAGCATTAAGCTGCTATTTTACGCTGGTATTTAGTGTGAGCATGGTCTTTCACTGATAGAGCCGACCCATTCGTTCTACAACCACAATATAGCTGCAGCGTAAATATACCACGTATAAAATGATTGATTGAACAGGGAAATCATGTACTCAACTATGCTCGTATAATAGAGAATACATTGAATAGAACCTTTTTTTCTCTTATATTAACTTGGGTTTCTTTAGATTATTTTTTTAATAAAAGTAAGTTGTAAAAAAATTAAAAATAAAACAAATTCTCAAATAAATTTGTTTAAAAATGTTATTAAAATTTTCGAATGTCTTAATTGTTTTATATAATTTAGATTTGTAATAAATTAGTAACAAAGTACGAAAAATTTGGATTTCAGAAATCCAAATTTGGCATTAACCAAAAAATATTATTTAAAAAAATATTTAAATTCTATATAATAGACTTTACCAGTTTCATTTTGGTATCCGTGAGAGTTGCTGAAAGGTACTGCCAAATGTAAAGCTCAAGCAAAACTGTGATTCTTTGAGACGAATTGACCTATTATATACCTGACATGAACCTAATCCTGATCATCTCACGAATAAGGCCTGACGTAATGGTTTTATAGCAAAGATAATGAACGAGTACGTATATTTGAGTTATGATATGCATGGTCGAGTAATTAGTTATCATAGTTTTTTTTTTGGCTACCAAACGTGATGTGACGACCTCGACTTGTCAAATAATTAACGTACGTTTCCAAGGATACAGTATAGATTAATTTCAGTTTTGTGAGTTCTTTTAAAATCGACTTCACTATGAAAGTTGTCCGTTATGATATCAGCCTATTGTATGATTCAATGCAACAAGTTCGATTGTAATAGTTAAATAGAAGATTATATTATATTGTATTGTAAGATTATATTATATTATATTGATTACCGCAAAGGGAGTTTTATTGTATAATCCATGCTTAAAGATATAAAAAGCTTCATAATTTTGTTCAATATTTGCGAGATCGCTAAAAAGTATGACTAAAAATTTCAATATTGTATTTTTCGTTCTTTATAAAGAGTGGAGTGATTTTTCAGTGTCTGTGTTACCGTCCGATTACTTTCTTACCTTATTATTTCGTAAAATTTTCTGTAACCTAAAATTTCGAAAAATTTTACGTGTTATGACAAAACAAAGCATTTGTGGAGCGGTAACTACTGGCAACTATTCCAAACAGAGCTAAATAATCAAACTGCAGTTATTAATTATAATGATCAAAAAATTTCAGATTTTTTTTTAATATTTTGTTAAAGTGGTTAAATTATAACTAAGCATAAGCACATTTAATCCAAAACTCTATAGTAGCAATACTAACGAGAACAATTATTAATTTATACCTGGTAGAGTCTCGCTGCATCTATATTATGGTTGCAGCACGAATGGATTGCCTAGAACGGAAAAGGACCAATCTCTCAAAAAATCATAATCATCATTTCACCCCTGCACTGTCCTGAGCCACCTGCATCTATCGATTTCCTGCATGTCTCACCAGGTCACCACAACATCTGGTGGGGGCCGCCCCGCATTTCGCCTACCGGTACGAGGCTGCCACTTGAGAACCTAACTTCGCCATCGGTTGTCGGTACTTCGGGTTAGCCCATTGCCACTTCAGCTTAATTATTAAGCTTAACGAATTATCGTTTGCCTATCTCGGTTACTCTGGTTCTGCTGCAGATATCCTCACTTCTAAGTTTATCACGCAGAGAAACCAAGGGCATAGCTCCCCATAGCTCGTAGAGCTACTTGAGTAGTCCTCATACGGCCAGCAGTGAAGGACCCTGTCTCAGATCCATAAGTCATCTTTGCAATAGTTAAAAATAGTTGTACAGTCTCATTTTAAAGTTCTTAAACTCACAAAGTACCAGCACAAAATTAGGTTTATGCTGCCGTGTTTCGTGTAGTGAATGTAGAGAATCGGCGACCATTCTTACTGCAAATAAGGCCTTCCATCCTAGTCATCTGGGGTGACAACGCAACTGCATTTTGATAGCATAGATGTAGATGTCAGTGTTCACTTACATATGGACTGTGTACTCTTTTGTTACCATATAATAAATAAAGTCGATAATAGATAAAACAGATTATGAATTCATAATGTTTCTTGAGCTAATATTAATTTTGATTTTTATTTATAGGTGGTAGAGCCATGTGGCAGCTATACTATGGTTGTAACACGAATGGGTCAGCTCGACCGGGAAAGGGCCACGCTCTCGCAGAATACCAGCGTAAAATAGCAGCTCTACGCCGCTGTGTTTTGTATGGCGAGTGTAGAGATCCGACGACCCATTTTACAGGAAACGAGTCATTCCATCTAACTCCTCAGGAGTGGCAACACATCTGTATTTTGATTCCTAATCGAGTATAAATGTATATGTCTATGGACCACAGCATCCACGTATTATTAAGTGTACTATGTGCTCGATAGCCATTCTTATTCTTTAAAAAAATATTTTTCTATTTAACTCAGCAAATAGACTAATATTACTTTTACTTGAAATAAGACACCTGATACTATGCTCAAGTTGCGCAATAATCGATATTCGGAACAATACATTCACCTAACACAAAACTAACGTCATTTATATAGAAACATAATACAAATCTCGCAATATACGGATCATCTAACGACTAAATATAATCCGATATTGCACCCGAATTCACGACAGACACGGTTGAATTGTTTCACATAAAGGATACGCAACGTTATACGTGAGCGATAAAATAATACGCGAACGGAGAAAAAAATACTTCAAGGATTCATCACAACCTTATCTTCAGTAATGAATAATTTATCAAAAATAAACTTCTGTCTCATCGTTAGTACCAAAGCACGTTCGAAACGATCCTTACTATAATGGAGAGTAACAGGTACGTTTTGTAGACGAGATGTAATGAAGGGACGTGCATGTTACACGACTTATTTTTTTAAAAGAATAAAGGTGACAAGCGAGCACACAAACCGCCTTATGGTACTCGTAAGCGGTTGCTGTGGCCAATAAACACTTACAATTATCCTCGAATACGGATCAAATTGCAAATATGTTATCAAAACTGAACACTTACATGTAATGCCTCATATTCAGTAATAAAGGTCTACGGTTTTCTGTACTAACCATACGAACCATCGCAGCATTGAGCTGCTATTTGACGCTGATGAATTCGTGCTACAAATATAAATTAACTGCAATATTGCTTTACCAAGTATAAAGAATAAAGAGAACGTCCCAAATTTAAACCTATTTATTATTATATATTGTAATAGAATATCGAGAAACATCTTATGCCTTCGATAGAGAGTAATTATCCTGACTACAGCAGACGTAAAATATCTCGATCGGTGATAGACTGTGGCGTAAAAAGCACGAGAAGCTGGTATAGCTATCGTTCACCCGCCTGCTAAGTATGACGATAAAAACAAATACTCCTTACGTTAGGAGAAGCCGATGACCAAAAATGGACTTTGAAGGGTTAATGAAGAAAACTAAGAAGAATAACCATAACTGTCACTTATGTTCATCTTCAAATGATACGGTCAAGTCAATCATCCTAGCTTGAGAAAATTTGTCATGGATGTTGTGGTGACAAAAATTCTTGGTTTCTGACTTCGCTCGCGTGGAATTGGAAATTACAACAGTTTTCAGAAAATTTCTTTCTCACCTATCCCGTAGGAATTTCGAAAAACCCTATAAATGGTTTTTGATGGTTATAAGGAGTAGTGCCATCACGAGGAATTGAAGAGCTTCTGAAGGGTTTTAAATGGTTTTCATCCACTTTCAGAAAGAAACTCCGCTGTGATTCCATCCTCGCTCGAGACCTTGCCGTTTTTAAGGTGCTGGAGAGCCGATTTATGCTCGCTGAGAATGACGACTTTTTTAAATATATTATATCGATGAAGTAATTTCAAGATATTCCTTTCTTCGTTTATTAGTTTTTATTTTTTGTCTATGAATACATAATATCTGTATGGAAAAATTTTGAAGGCTGCGATAAGAATAAAATTAGATAATACCTGTATTTTATACTTATTTCTTCGCATCCTAGGAAAGACGAATTTATGTTTCTACGATAGTGCAAATACTTTCTACGCTACTGATACTTGCAGATATGACGACGCGTGTATCTTCATTTTTCATTAAATATGAACGTACGTATGCTTTTATAGAACGCAGTTTTTTATGGATTCAGGAATGATAAACTAGCACAAAGTTCTCCTGATGGTAATCCATGCACAGTAACCGTTACTGTTAACTATTAAAATTCACTACAACTGTTAACTACTGTTGCCTACTAAAATCAACTGCTTAACATAAACCTTCTCCATAGATTACCTCATAGGGAGAATATTTGTCATAGTTGCCACGCTTCATCCGAGCGTGACGGTCTCGGTCTCGCGAGTTCAGAGCTTTTTCCCCATCCCAAAAGTGCCCAACGTGCCTGAAGAAATGTTCACCCCAAAAACTTATTGCAGTGTAGTCGTGGTGTAAGAAAATTAGAAGAAACAAGGTATCTTCAAACAACTTGTCCTCAACCTCATTTTATACCACGTGAGTGTCGAAAGAGGCGACAGGGAGAAACGTTCCGGGTAATAATTTTAAATTAAAATGCGTGTCAACTATCGCTAATATTGTCCCCATGAAGTAGCCTATGGGATATCTTCAACAATGGAATTTTGATGGCTACATTGAATAAAAAAATATGAGGAAAATTAAGGCTAATAACTTTAAACAAAAATAAATGCACTCCTCTCACAAAATCGATCTATTACGTCTTTTCAGTCACGAGTTTACTACAATAACGCTATCCATAAATAAGATGTGCAAATTCGTTATTTTAACTAGGTCGTGAATAGTTTTATTTATGTACAATCACAAACGTGCACGACATTCAAAATTAATTGGTAACAGTATCTTTATAAATATAACTAGCGATCCGACCCGCCTCCGCACGACGAAGATGCAATGGCTCGTTTCCAGTACGAGTAAAGAAGGGTCTCCGGATTTCTACACTCAGCATACGAAACACAGCAGCGTTAAGCTGCTATTTTACGCTAGTATTTAAAACAAAAACATTTCAGATCAGGTTCAATGAAATTTAAGCCAATATTTATATTTTTTGAAGTAATATGATTGTTGAATATACTATTTATACGGATTTTATCCTTGGTATAAATTGGTGTTCTTTTGCGTAGATTTGTGGTTTATCTAATCTGATGTGATGTGGAGACGAACATGTTCACAGACTGCAGACGAGATTTGATAAACCACAAATCATCTCAAAAGAACACTGATTTCTACCAAGGATCATCCTTGGTAGAAATCAAACGCGGGCCTATTGAAATTAAAATACATTCTGATTTCAATAGAGATCGCTGGTATTTTGTGAGAGCTTAGACCTTTCCCGGTCGAGTCGACTCATTCGTGCTA